ATAACTTTGACCCTTCATGCCCAAATGAACCCATTAGCCTTACAAAGAATCTGCTTGTTTATTAAATAGCAGTGAGTCATTCTGTTGCAGATGTTTGTATATGGAAAGCACCATAAATATTATGGACTAGGCTGTAGACTGGTTGATTGCGAATGCATGCAAGGAAGCAGGCAATTTTTGACTTAGGTCTTTTTTTCTTTATGGTGTGTGCCACTTTTTCTACACAAACCACAAGTTTCTTTTTGTGAGAAAGAGAAAGAAAGGAAACCTCTCTAGTTCTAGAGCACGTCATCTTAGTTTTTTTATTATCAAGCTTGCATTGCACATTAGAGCACAGGAAATTTTTAGGTTAGCTTTTTTAGACAATTAATGTGCCTGTATCACCTTGAAAGGGACTAGGTATTTCCCCTTCGAGTGCGTACCCATCGCGTCTCCTCTGAGGAAGATTCTTGCTGACTTTCCTGAAACAAGGGCATTTAGAGTCATACTGAAACTACTGCAAACCGATAGACGAGTGACTCGGTAAATGACTCACGACATCACAGATGGAAATACAGCGTTAGGCTCTAGTCTGCCCTGAAATCATGGTGTTACAGGTCTCTTCATCAGATGAGCCAGACGCTTTCTACAGTCCCAGAGCGAGGTCTGGGCATCGTGGTTAGCTCAGAGCACTTTCCCGTCCCAACCAAGCGCTGGCTTCAAGCAGTGCTGAGCACCAGCAACCATCCTGCAGCAAATGGCGGGGCGGACACCAGCAGGCAGGGAAGGAGAGACGGGCCAGACTGCAGGTCTGCGGGCCAGCTCCTGTGCGCCTGCCATGGGCACAGGCAGGTCTGGACCCAGGCAAACGCATCAGCCTCCCAGCACCCACGTAAAGTGAGAAAACTACTGCAGAAACTTTCTCTTTTTTTTTTCTCTCTGGGTTAAATTAGTGTTACATGCCTGTGGAGTCAGAAGAAGGCCCTAAGGGAGGAGTATTTTTCTCTCTTGAATTGAGCGTTTATTGATTGTTCTTTCCCAGCCATAAACCGTGAATTTTGGTCTTTTCCTGCTGATTAAGTTTGTGAGATCTGAGCAGAAACCAGACAACAAGGGAGAAAACATCCAAGTGAAGTGCTGAATAATGGGGCAGCGGGCAGCAAGCTCAGCTGCCTCCAGAGTACTGCCTGGGGACACATGAGGAGGGACAAGCAGACAGCTTCATTAGGCAGAGATTTATTACACTGCACTGATGGGACCAACAGCTCTTTGCACGTGAGGATGCTCACTGGGAACTGTGCCTGAGCTCTGCTCTCCCGGCACAAAGCTCCCCATTGCAGCGTGTTGTTCTGCAGCACCAGCTCCTCCTGTCCCCGCAGCAGGGGCAAGTGAGCTTAGCTTATATGGCCTTAATAGGCTTAGACATCAGCTGCTCACAAAGCTGTCTACGTATGAATTTTAACTTCCTCTTTTAAATCATTTATAGGAAATGCTATAAAGTTCCGCCTATTTTTTTTTCCCTAAAATAAAATGCTTAAAAACAGTTCTTAAAAAAAAAAAAAAAAAAAAAAAAAAAAAAGCTTTAAAAATGTCTTTCTCAAGTACTGGCGCTCCTGTGGGATGGTTATACCACAGTTCTGCTGGCTGCTTGTCCCAAGAACGCCTCCTGCACGGCTCCTCTCACAGCACATAGTAGGAGGAGCCCTGTACACACTGATGCATCCTGACTTCAACCAGTCGTGGAGAGAAACCATGTCAGACCCTTCTCACATCGCCTTCATAGCTCAGTCTCTCCAACTCTCCAAGAGTTTGTTTGATGAGAACTGTCCTGAACATTCAGGTTGTTTCCAATCCTCCCCATCACAGATCTCTGGCCTTATCTTTCAGCATCAAGCCTGGCCGCTGCTGGCCTGGAGGTGACCACACACTGCTGGCCCACCAAAAAGCCGGCCCCAAGGTGGGACGAGGCAGCAACACACACGTGTTGTTCCCTCTTGTAATGCCCTTTGCTTCCATGTGTAAAATAAAGATTATATTCATGGAGGAGTTTTAAGTGTCAATTTAGCTGGTAAAAAAAAAAAAAAAAAAAAGTTGACTATTTTGTGTTTTGTTATTAGAACTATCAAAAAAAGTCTCACAGGCCATTTAGGGGATTAAATATTTGGCTAAGACTTTCCCACTTAGGTTCCCATCCTGATGTTGTTTACTAGCTAGCTGTTTTCTTGGCACAGTATAGGTTTGCTTGTGGCCTGTTTTATCTGACACCACAGATTACTACACCCTCATGGTAAACAAACATTCACACAGAATAGTAGCTCTGGTTAAACCTCACACCCTTTCTTCAGCAGAAGCAGAGAAATCAGATTGTGGAAGTAGCGATAGCCTTCTTAAACATCCTCCTGAAATGGAAGTAGAGACATTCCTCGTATCTCCAGAAGTGGCTATGGAATTCCTAATGTGAAAAATTCACAAGCCAGAAGAAAACACTGATGTCTTGTGTTGCATAGAGCAATGTGCTGGCATTCAACCAACGCTGCTGCAAATTCCTTCTTCTTTTTGGCAGTGAACTATTCCACTTACGAAGGGCAGAAGAAAATTGTTCTAGATTTATGTTGGCTCTTGTCTGATTGTAGTTGTGCTTTTCTGATAAAGACTTCTCTCCAATGCCAACAAAGCTTTGAAGGACATATAAACATATCATCATCATTCAAACATACCATATCTTTCCTTCATCAAAAAGGAACTAATTTCAAGAGGCCCCAAAATAAATGTAGTATTTCTTCTGTCCACTTAGAGCCTTCCAGTAGTACAAGTGACAAACCCAGGATGAATCCCAGGAACAGTTTACTATTTAAGTATATAGGTTGTTTCATATAAACCATTGGAGCCCAGTCTTCTTCGCTTAAATTGATCCAAATTCTCCTGTAAACTTGGCAACATTTTCAATTCCAAACTAAATATTTTCCTTTCCAGACATTGTAGATTCTGATCAGCTCAAATAAATCTCTTCACCCTGTCGTAGCACTCTGATCCTCCTGGTGTCTGACACGCCCTGGTCAAGGCCCAGCTTTTTACTGGCTCCGAGGCACATTCCAGTTGGGTGCTGACCCCATGGAGAAGCTGTTCCTCTGATCATGGCCTTGTGGTGACAGGGTGTGAGGAGGAATATGCTTGAGCAGAACCAGCACTGGTTCTGGACTGTCCCTCAGGGTGTCATGGATTTAGATCTGCGGCATCTCCATGGGGAGCATATTGCCCATACACGTGTCCTGCACATCTCCCCCTTGGCGTGACAAGACAGTATCCCAGGGCCAGCAAGTTCAAGACAGCACTGCACACTGGGTTCAGTGCTGGTCCCCTTCCGATGGGGAAAGAGGATATTTAGTTCATTGCAGGCACATGCCAGGGAAATAAGGAGGATATTTGACCCTTGGAGATAAACCCACATACTGAAAGGTTGCCTTTGGTGTGTCAAACCTTACTTCACATTTCTTACAGAGCAGAGCGAGTATTGGGTACTGGTGATATCAAACAGACTCAAATCTACCTTGCAACAGAGCCGTGGGTGCCTTGGAAACTCAGCACATCTATGCTCAGCATTGCTGCGCACACAGAAGTATATTGGTATATAAATTTGTTTTGTAAGTAAAGGTACATACTGGTGAAAGTTTCAAAAAAGAAAAGAGCTCTTAGGAGGGAGGTGACAGTGATGGCACAGACTATCTAACTGGGAGAAGAGGTCCAAAGCTAGTCCTTAGACCCTGTTTGTGCAGGTAGCCATGTCAGCAACTGAGTCACCCCTCTGGGCTCAGCTTCCTGATCTCTTCTCCCTCCTTGGCAAGACTTATGCACAGGTGATCTCCATCCCATTTCCATCAGGAGCCAAATTGATTTAAACAGCTTGGAAGGGGGTAATAGGTTGACTTGCTCTCAGAAGTGGCTCTGGAGAGGATCTTGTGGGCTCCTTCTACCCTGCTGTGGGCAGCCTGCCTCCCTGGTGGGGAAGGTAGAGGGTCTTGGGTGCTTTAGAGCTCCTAATACTGTTTATTTATTGTTTTAAATAGACTGATAGCTGCTTGTTCAGTCTTCAGGAGCTCTGTCTGCAGTACTTTGTTCCTTGGCTATTGTGTCTTGATTTTGGAGAACCTTTTCCTTTCAGAGTAGGGTAAAGTACTGCCTAGCTGAATGGATGTACTTTTAGATGAAATATTGCCTGAATATTTTCTTAAAGCATTTTATTCATGCATATCTGATGTAGTCTGTCAGCCTGGAAAGAGTTTTAGGGACTTTCATAATGGTTTGTCTTCCTCAGAAATTGTGAGAATATTAACAGACAGCATGAAAGGCTTCACTGCACTGCAAGGAAGTCTCTTTTGCATGAAAACCTTCTTTATGAGAAATGGACTGGGTGTTTATTTTTTAAATATATTTATAATTATATCTACTAGACCTCAGTTTCAGCAAAATCAAGCACCTGCTTACTTTCAAATTGTGTAAGATTTTGCTGAAATTGACTTTTTTTATGCTGTCGTGGAAAGTCATTCTGCAAAGTCTCAGGGAGGTTATTTTAGCCCGTGTGGTTGTTCAGATGCTGGGGTTTTTGTTTTGCTTTTTGCTCTAGTGAACTTTTGACTCTGGTGGTGAGACAACTAAAGCAGCTGCTGCCGGTGGCAGGCACCTGGACCATTGAGGGGCACCATCTCCCTTCCTTCTTGGCAGACCAAGTGAGAGGGACACTTTGTCATCAGCTCTGCCTTGCTCCCTCTGCCAGCTCCTTGAGGCCATTCTGGTTTGAACACAGTTTTACCTGTTCCTTTTCTTTATAGGCTTTGGTGAGGGGAAGAAAGCTCTGGACATCTTATTTCAAATACCCATGGTGCTGGGGCATCCTGAATTTTTCTGTTTAACTTCTTAGAAGGGAAACTCCCTTAAGGTTTGATCTTAAAATCAGAAGCTCATAAATAGCTGCTTATTAGTACTGAAATCAGTCTGAGAGAAGCTGGCTGGGTCATTTGGAAACGTTGTCTTTACTAGCAAAGGTGTTAACAGGAATGAATATGCGGCAATATGTGGTACAGTATTAAATGTTTTCATGTTACTAAAACCTTCTAACTACTTCTTTGTACACATACAATAACTAATACAGGTGAGGTATGTGCCTACATGTTGCTTGCAGCTTGAGGGCTGTGTTAGTGAAGTCAAGTTCATCTTGGCTACCTAACTGTTAGGAGCGGCAGCTCTGCCTTTCACAAATGCAAGCCAAGGGCTTGCATTTCAAATTAGAGTCATAGTTAAGCCAGTTAATTAAAATAACAATAAAATCCAAAAGATAACATGCATGTTCAGGCTGACTGACGTGTTGTGGCCAGCAGTCAGGAGGCTAAAAGTTCCCTGTTTGTGCCCTATGCAGGCATGGCGCAAGCGCTGGTTCGTGCTCCGCAGAGGCCGCATGAGCGGGAACCCGGACGTGCTGGAGTACTACAGGAACAACCACTCCAAAAAACCCATTCGCGTCATCGACCTCAATGAGTGCGAAGTGTTGAAGCACTCGGGGCCCAACTTCATCAAGAAGGAATTTCAAAACAACTTTGTCTTCATTGTGAGAACCACCTACCGAACATTCTACCTGGTAGCCAAAACCGAGGAGGAAATGCAGATCTGGGTGCACAACATCAGCCAGATCTGTAATTTTGGACATTTAGAAGATGGCACAGGTAGGATCAAGATCATGCTTATTTTAAGGGTTGGGAGGATGATATGTTTTTAGGCTCTTTCATAGCAGCACACAGGAAGTGTGGACCTTGCCAGCAGGTTTGGGATAGCAAGGAATGTGGGAAGCTGTTTCACATGGGTTCACAGCATGGCTATTGCTGAACCCTCATTTACAAGTTACCAGGATTCTCATTTCTGTTGGGTAAAAATAATAGCTGGACACTTGGTCTCACTTTGAAAAAAGATGTTGTTTATGGAAAGGCTGACTGTTATCTATATTTATTTAGTTTGGATTAATGCAAGACACCTGTTCCAAAAAAGACAGTGTCCTGCAAAAACTCTCATTTTCTCAGGTTTTGCTAGATGTGGAATGTAGATAGGTTTGTGTGTATATGTACATATATAAATCAATGACAAAAATACTGAGCTATCTTAGTCTATTAATGAGATGAAAAATAAAAAAAGGTAGAGGATAGGAGAGTATTAGAAGTGTGTGTCTAGACTTAAGAGATGGTCTTGCCAGGGAAACATGTAGGAAGCCTGTTTGCCGAGACTTACACCTGTACATACTCAGTAAGGTGAATTTGCTTGGAACATTTCCAAGAATTAGCCACTCCAAACTGCATCTAGACAGTAATTAATGCCAGGACCTGTATCATTAACTTACCTTTCAAATGAGAAAATCAGGCTCAGATAACAGCAATCTGTCATTCCCTTGATATTTCCAAGGGGCAGATACAGCAGCAATTTGAGAGCTTCATAGGAAGTGACTCAGAATTAAATCCTTGGCTGTGATAAAAGCCAGCACACGAGCAGAAGAGGGTGGTGAGATGGGGGCTCAGCCTTGTCAGAGAATTCAGAAAGGACAGCAATATGTTTCATGGGTATCATAGTGTGGCAGGGTGGATCACCGTGCCCTGGTCTGTGCACTGCAGTAGCCAGAGCACTGCTGGTGCCTGCAGCTGCTGCCATGAAGTCAAACCTCAGCCCTGTACCTTGCAAGGAAACAAAAGGCCCAGATGAGGTGTTTTATTTTAATCTACTCCAATTCCTGGCCTTCTTTAATCTTCTCTTCAGTAGTTTATTCTGAGGGGAAATGGAAGGGAGTAGGAAGTGCTCTGCAGTGTTCCTGTTATAAATCTGAGGTCTGCTGTTTTCACATTCAGTTTAGAGACCATGTGGAAAACTTGCTGACACTTATGTGCCAGTCTGAACTGCCCATGCAGGCAACTAGCATGTTAGAGCCTAAACATCGTGTTATGAGCTGGGAGCAGTGTGGAAATTGGAGTCAATAGACTTTTGCAGCTTGAACATAATTAGAGACCATTCAGAAGCTCACGTATGCTTGCTAAAACTGTGATGTGTTGCTCTTGTGTTGCTGCTTTTGCTGTGGTATTTTAGACACATATTCATCAAATCATGTGAAATGAAGGTAAGTCTTTCCATGCAGAACAAAAGAGAAAATTAACATACCTCCTTGTGCTCTGCCTGTACTGTGTTGAGGATATGCACAGGGAGACACGATTTGCAGAGGACCAGAGGAGCTGAGGCAGCAGTTATCCCTAGCATAGATGCATTTATATTGGGAAACCTCTGTTTGGTTGTGCTGGTGGAGCCCAGCATGGCTTGTACAGCTATTTTATGCCCAGGCAGTGCGTGGAGAGGGTCACAAAGCAGTGCTCCTCTGCCTGCAAAGGGTGACAGGGTACATACTCGCAGATGAGAAATGACAGCTCTTGCTGCAGCTGTTTGAAGTGTTGGCATTGCAGCTTTCTAAGCTGCTCCTGAAAGTAAATGTTCTTCCCAAGGTAACTAACAGTGCATGGCGTTTGCCTTGGTTCAGTATAGTTTGGCACTATGGTATAGTCACTGTGGTCAGTGTAAGTTAAGTTCCCAGGTATGCACTTACCTCCCTGATGAGAAATAGTCATACGCTCTTATTTACCCCCACAGCCTCTGCTGATCTGGAGTATATTCTGGTCAGGCTGCAGGGCTCCTTCAAATCTTATTTATATCCTGAGCTCTGATTTAATTCTGCACCATTTCATGGGATGCACATCACATCACATTTCAAATAGTTGCTAATTGCTTGAGCTTTTTGGAAGCACCTAAATCCCCCAAGTGCCTGTAGGTTTAAACAAATTGCCCTTAAAAATTAACATAAGAAGAGAAAAGCTCTATTAAATGCCAAATGCCTTTTTAAATGGAATGCTACTGTGTTTAAAAAAATACTCTGCAATGAATCATCAAATGAAAGACATGTGAATTGCAAGAAAGTTTAATAAGCTGTTCTATATATTAAAATGAACCTCAAAGCCCATATTACGTTGTGAAATCAATCATTCTTAATCCTTGTGTTTTTGGAAAATTTGCTGCAACTTTGGGGCTGAAACCAAACCTCCTGTTTGCTTTGCTTAGTGCACTTGCAGAGCAGTTGCAGGATCACACAGTGACTCAGCTGTAAACACAGGCCACTTGTTCTGAGCCTGTCCAGTAGCAAAGAAGCAGGATTAATAGCTGAGTCCCTGTTATCAGAGGCCTCTGCTGCTGAAGCAGCCAGACCCACATCAATGAAAGCCCTGCCAGTCTGGCAAGGCCAGCCCTAGGTGCCTCCTTCAGCGAACAAAGAGCAGGGCAGCAGCTCATGGGCAGAGCAGGCAGATGTCAGGAAGCACCTGGGCGGGCAGCGTGGGAAGGGCCGGCCCGGCAGAGCTGCCCACCCGGCTGCAGGGAGCTGTGCCGCTTGCTGGCCGTGTTCAAAACGGCAGGAGCAACCTGGTACCTCCAGGGCAAGGGAACCAGGCCTCTTCCCCCAATTTTTCTACCCTTCCTATAGAAAATGTGGCTTCTGGCAAAGCAGTGAATCCTTTGGGAGCTGCTGTTTTTGCAGCATGGAGGGCAGTAGCATGGGTTGAAAGAACACGGTGCCAGGAAGGGATCCCTAGCCCAGTGGAGATGTTATCCCCCTTGGAGCAGGTGTCCTGGTGCCACAAGCAGCCATGCCGTGTTGTGCATGCAGCTCAAATGACTGGTGAGCATGAGGTGAGTGCTTCTCATCAGGACACCTCACTTTTAAAGGTTGCAGCTGAGTGTTAAGCACTTCCCCCAGCCATGCCTTGGCAGGCAGTGTCTAAACCCAAGGGGGATCTGTATTGGAATCCCACTGGATGTAGTTGACACCCATGGTGTCACAACAGAGCTCCTGGGGCAACCCGCACCCTCGCCCCGGGGCTGCTGCCTCCTGTTTGCGCTGCCCTGTGCCCGAGGAAGCAGCTGCAGCCCCTGCTGCCTTGCTGGCAAACGGAGGGAGGAGGGTGCACGGCACCAAACCCGCTCTCAGCACTCGTGCCCGAGCAAATGCACATGCATAATTTATTCTCCCTAACTGCTGCTGCAGTGTAACTTTAATGCACACCGATTCAGTTACCGGCAGGGTTCGCAGGGGCCAGCCCGCTCTGCTCGGAGCTGCCTGCCATCTCCAAGTGCCTGAAGGTTAGCAAAGGGCAGGGCTCTGCTGTCCCCATCCCTGCAGTGCCCTGGGGTACCATGTGCTCAGTCTTTCCTGATGGGATAATCTTAGACTAAAACCTGTGAGTACCAGATGGAGTTCAAGCCTGCTACTTCTGGTTGTGCTAATAACCCGGAATGTCATTCATTTTTCTTGCATGCATTGAAAATTCATTGAGTGGGCTTTTTTTTCCATGTGTGGTCAGAGGATGAGGTGCCTGCATTTTTCTGAGATCCCTACAGAATTAACTCGGTACATATTTGATCTTCCTCAGTTTACAAGGCAACTCTTGAAGTCCAAGACATGAAAACTGGGCTACCATGTTAGCCAGCAGAATAAAAAGGGAAAAATGACCTTGTCTATTTGGAAGTTTTGGGCTGTCAACCACACTTTCCAAAAAAGAAAGGCTGTAAAAATGCGATAACTAGGATAAATAGTCCTGCTGATGTCCTGCTTTGTAAGCACCTGCTTATAATTCAGCAAGTGTTTTTTGAATAAGCTCTAATTGAAGCATGTGCCTGATGGGATCTACCATGACCCCTTAGGGCCGAAGTTAGCTGGAGGAAGCAGCAATGAGTTAATTTGGGTAGAGGGGAAGGAAAGAGTCGGCTCCCTCCCCCAGCACTTGCTCAATTTGAAGGGATGAGCCACAGGGTAGTTCTAGAAACTGCAAGTTTAACTGGCACTCAGCTTTGCTTGTTTCCTCACAGCTTTCCCTGTGTATTTTACTTTTGCTTTTGACTTTGCTCCTCTAGCAAAAACAATTTGCTTTTTTTTAACTTGTCTTTTCATTTAGCCCAAAGAGATGATGGGATGAAGCCTGAAGCACAAGTTTGCAGTCACAGGAGGTTTTGGGCTGCTTTCAGCAATGTTATTTAGTGATGCTTGTCTTAAAAGCTGTGTCCATCCACCTGATGCCCTTGCGCATGTACCTGCTGCCTCCTGGCACTGAGAAGAGGGCTGCAGCTGCATGCAGTGCAAAGACTTGGTGCTTTTGGGCTGGGTGCTAAGCAGAAGCTGCCTGAGGTGCTCCAGATCTCTCTGCTCTGTGGAGTCTGGTCTGTAGCACACATAAGCAGGCAAGGAGCTGTTCCAGTATTTTAAGCAAATTCTACACATTGGAATTACAGAAATCTCATTTCTTGCTATGCTGTTAAATGTGCTTAATGCTTGGTTTTATGAGCAGTCTTTGTATTTTTGAATTTGTCTCTTTTCTGGGTGTTTTTCCCTTTTGTAGAAGGGAGTTGCAGCTTTGACTGGTGCCTGTGCTTGGGCCAGAGATGGGTGCCTGCTGCTTGCAGTTTGCCTGGGCATCCAGTCCTGAACAGTTGTGTCAGGAAGCGCCTATGCGCAGCAGCCCTATGGGGAAAGGAGTCTGTGCCTGGTGGGAGGGCTGCGCTGCAAGGAGCAGGCACGTGCTGGGCAGCTTTCCCATAAGAAATACCCCAAAGCTGCATGCTGAGAGATACCTGACTTGCACTTGGGGCTGGCTTTCAGATGTAACTTCTCCAGATGCTGGGCTGCAGTCAGTGCTTTGCCCACATTGCTCCTCCTGCAGGTAGCCAGCATGTTGCTGCAGCTCTTGGTGTGTGTTGTAGGTTTGCTGCCATTTCTGTCCCAGGAATGGGAAGGGAGCTGGAGGGCGGTCAGTGTCTCCTGCAGCCTAGAAATGCTCCCAGTCCTCTCGAGCTGGGTCTGGAGGGGCCTGGGCAGCACTGAGCATGAGGGACTGAAAGAGGAAGGATGGGTGAAAGGCGTCATTCTGAGTCACGGTGCCCTGTGGCCTCCTTGCTGGCCCTTTTCTCAGCGAGGTAGCCAAGCCCATGCTGGCCAGTAGTGCCTATGCTGCTGCACTTGTGGCTTTGTCCCAAAGGTGACCAAGAGCAAGGCGAGGGGAGCCGGCGGGTGAGCCCTGTGGTGCAATGAATCCGGCTCTCCTGCAAGCGGCAGAGATTGGTTTCACCCTTTGAGATCTCAAAAGTGGGAAGAAATCAATCCCTTCCCTTGTCTCCATTAATTTGAAGTGTTGGAGATTAATAATTAATTATTTGTGTTAGAGAAAGCCTAAGAAACCCCTGGTGAAGCAGATGCTTCACCATGGAGGAGCCCATCACTGTGCAGGAGGTGGTGTGTCCTCCCATGAGGTGGCATCAATGGACTGCACCACTGAGGTGTCCCCTCATCTGCAGCACTGCCTTGGCCTGACCTGCCAAGGTGTGGCCAAACCCACACTTCTGCCCTGACCCACTCCCCATTTTGGGGCAGCTTTTCCCCTGGGGCTTTGAGCACTGGGATGCTGTGCGGGCCCTGCTCCCACCGTGTGGCTGTGGGCAGCCAGTGGGACCCCAGCTGTGTCCCATAGGGACAGAGCAGGTTTGAAGCCTACCTAGCACCTTTGCAGAGCAAGGAGGATGTGGCTGCAAGCTGCTTCGGACCACAGTGTCTCTTGTTAAGCATGTGGAGTGGGTTAAGGCTTTGGCCAGGTTGCCCGGAGCTGCGGGTGGTGTTTCCCGGTCCCCTAGGTGTGTGGCAGGTGCTGTGGCCGGTCCTGATCCGCGCCGTTGCCTCTCGTTGCAGGTTCTGTGGAAAGCCTGTCACACACCACATCATCACCGCAGCCCTCGCCAGCCGCCTCCACCCACGCCTCCCGTGTTGCCGACCCTTCCTTCTCTGTCGACGGGGCCGCAGCCGACCCCTCTGCTGCTGAGGAGACCCCTAGCGAGTCGGAGTCGGTCTTCCTCCCCGATTACCTCTTCCTCTCCAACTGCGAGTCGGGCAAGCTGGGTCACAACAGGTAGGGCTGATGTCTCAGCTGGCATCCGGGTCTTCTGCTCTGCAGCTCAGCCCAGGTTCCTGAGCTCAGCAGTGGGGTCATGAGCACTGGGATCGTCCAATTTACCAGGGACTTGTCTTAGCTGCAGTTACCAGAAGGGCATCGTGTTTTGGCCTTAGCGAGCTCTGAGCGGAGGCACCAACTATGCAGTGAAAACATCCAGGGAGCAGCAGCATCTCAAGTCCCAGCCCTGGGCTTCTGTCTGTAGCTTCCTAGGGAAGGGACATGTTTTGGCCCCAAGTGTGCCTTTTGCTGCATTGAATTGCTGAGTGGATCAAGTTGCAGGCATGCAGTGTTCTTGTTCCTCCCCTTCCTTTTCTAAAAGTCCCTCTGGTTTTTAATTTGAGCTCCTGCAACATGACAAATCTCTTGTTTTATGAGAACTTGGCTTTGGAAGCCACATCTTCCCCTCTCCAGGAACAAAATTTGGAGAAATAGGTGGCTCTTTTAGGTGCAGAGGCTGAAACTTGAACCGGAGCCCAGCAGTGTCTCTGCGAGTGGACTTGCTGCCATGCACAGCACATGCAGCTCTCATGCAACGTTGAGACCTGCTGCACAGCCCCCAGCAGCTGAGCAGGACTAGCTGAGCAGCTACCACAGTTTGCACAGGGTCATGGTGGGCCAGCTCTCAGCCGAGGAGCTCCTGCGGTGGTGTGCGTACTGGCTGGCCATGGGGTGCCCATGGTGATCTCCTGCTGGCTGGGTTGAGTGGAGCACATTTGCTTGGTTGCAATCACAAGAAAAGGAGAGGGATTCTCTTTGATTTCTTTCTCCCATGCAGATGTGATAGCTGGTCAAACTCTGACCGATCACTGGAGCAGACCTCATCGGACGACGTTTTTGTAGACTCTTTGCAGTCCCAACCCTCCTTGTACCTTGTGCAGCCATCCAGTGCTGGTGCTGTGCACCAGGATGGGGCTCCTGTGGCAAACCATGGAGATGTCTCCGGGAACATAGACATTACTGGCCCATCCTGTGACTTTTCCTCCTCATCTCCATTGCTGGGAACACCACTAACACCAACTTTGCAGATTGACAAGAGCCAAAACGCGCTGCCCTATGGAGTGACCAAGCTGGATGTGCTATCTAACACTCCGCCGCCCCGACCACCAAAGCCTACCCACTTCTGTGACAGGAGAGGGGAAGAGTCCAGTACTGGAGCCCTCCACAATGGTCACGTGGGGATCTGCCGGGCCCAGGTTGCTTTGGTGCCGAGGAGAATCTCCTTGTCCAGTTTAGACAACGTCAGGAATTGGAAAGGTAAGTGCATTTCTGCAAGACAGCAAGGTATGCCTGGGGCAAGGGATGGAGCTGCCCTTGCATGCGGAACAGACATCGTGCCATCTTGCATGCCCCTTCTAAAATAAGGGTCTTCAAAGGAGGCAAAGCTCTGCCTCCCTGCCCAGTGCTCACACTTGTTTTTCCCATTCTTTTTAAATCCTGGTAGGCCTAATAGTCAATGGGCCTTCTTTTCGCACACTAGTATTTTAGCTTCCACTGCAAACTACATACTGAAAGCTCTATCAGCTGTATGTGGAGAAATAGGTAAGAGAAATTCAGACTTGGAATTCAGAAATAGGCTAGGAATTCTGCCAAGTATCACCAGGTGCCTCTACAGCCTCCTGTCTGGAAAAAAAATACACAACTTAAAGCAATCCCAAATGCTTGTTTCCAATTAAGTTGCGAGCAGAACTGCAACCTGTCCCTCAGTTACATTCCGCATCTGCTCCTGCAAATTCCCATCAGCATGTAAACACAGACAGCAATTTAGCTGTGATCTCTGCAGGGTGACTCATGACTTGTTCATTTGTGATGCTCCCTTCTCTCCCCAAAAAGAAAGCAGCCAACAAATAATGAAACAAATGAAAAGCCAGCCAGCAAAGCAGACAGTGCCAGCTCTATTTCTGCAGGTCAAAACGTGAGCTTACACAAAAATGCTTTCTGAGCTGTGCTGTTCTGCTGCCTGTAGAAGAAGGATGTCTTTTTGTCATTTTTCACATATTTAGAGTCAAGATCTGGAAGCCAGAAAGATGCTGGTGATGTAATTCCAGACAAACCAGGGGCTCTGTGTCCTTGAGCAAATACCCCTGTTGTGTCCTTGCATTTCATGCAGGGCAGCTTGAAAACCAACCACAGAGCAAGAGTCTCTGCTGCAAACAAAGCTGTGCTCTGAGCGGAGGTGACTTCCTCGCTTTTCTTGAAATGTTGTCATCTCACAAAAGGAATAGTCAAAAATCTACAACCTTCCAGGTGTCAAAATTCAGCATGCATAGAATTAGAAAGTTTTTATTTTGTGGAACCACAAAACATACAGAAGCAGATGAAATTTCTAGCAGGAATTGACTGAATATTTTGCAATGAGGCACCGTTTTTGAGGAGGAGGAGAGTGCAGGTATTTACGAAGACAAACTGTATTTAGATTCCTTCAGTTTGACCTTGAATGTTTTGTGGCTAGTAGGTCTTTCTCCTAAGACACAAAGCTTAAACATGGAGACCTTTGCCCAGCCTGTTTATCAACATGTACAAAACAGTTCCTGGAAGGTTTGTGGAGAAACACCCATCAGTGGAACTGGTGTTCTTGACTATTGGTTTTGGTTGCAAGCTCTTTGAAAAATGCTGCTCTTGCTTCCAGACATGTGCCACTTGAACACCACCTGGAATAGTTGGAATAGTTAATGCTTGTCCCTTTCCTCTTATGCCAAAATAATTGTAAGAGGATTAAGTGTCCAAATGTCATATTCTGCTAATGTGCTGCAAGGTTCTCTCTGCCTGACAGAGGGCAGCAATGAATTAATATGTTGCTGTTTTCTTACCCCAGGCATAGCTGAAATGTGCAACTTGAAAGTTTGAATTGAAATGTTTAACACACAAAATACAGAGGGGAAAAAAAGCACAGAGAAAGTAGCTGCTTCTCACTGGCTCCTAGAGTGAGGCCACCTGAGTTGCTAGCTCAGTTTTGGATCTTAACAACCTGTGAAATCTGCCTGCGTTAACCCAGCTAATGGAAATAGGTCTGGCAGCTCCACAGGGCCTGGGCTGCAGAGGCAGCCTGTGCTGATGCCCCTTGCAAGTGAGGAATGAGCCCTATCTGCACAAGGCACCTGGATCTTGGTGCTGCTGTGTATGCTACAGAGCTGTGCCTCAATGTCTGTTTGCTCAAGTATGTTGAAATATGTATGTATATGCATGCATATATACACACACATATTTATATACTGACTCTGAAAGTTGCTCTGTTCTGGTTTAGGGCTTCCATTGTCTTTTACACTTTTCTAACAGAAAATAGATCCCAGTAAGCATATAGACTGTACTAATTGGATTACAGGGTTTTTTAATATTCCCAACAAAAGACTCTGTAGAAGCATAGACAAGCCTTTTTCTCCAAAGAAAAGCATTTTCCACAAAAGATGGATGGTAATTTGAAGCATGGATACAGATACATATTTATGTGTATATATATGTGCATATATATATAGAGTATATATACAGCCATATAAATGTGTTAGAAGGTTGGCAGGTAGGAGAGAAGGTTGGTGAGTAGTCTTCTTTCCTTCCATTCCTCTGGTTCCTTTTTTACTATCCTTGAAAATTAGCTGCAATGACCAACCATTATTCAAAGTAAAATACTTGAAGCATCTTCGAAGGTTGGTTGTCTTACTATTCGGTAAAATAAACTTGACCTAACCCAAGATGAAAGTCAGTCCACACAAGGGGGCAGTGTGACCAGGGACCTTCTCACTGACTGTTTATTTCTGTGCACGTTGAACCTCTTGCAAAATATTAGCATTTCCCATGGCCTGAAGGAGAATTTCTCCTTTGCCCTCATGTTCCCTCCTGTGATAGCTGTACAATAACATGTGCTCAGGATCTCTGAATACCCCTGTCTGCAAGTAGAACAGAAACTGGGTTCAAATTTTATTTCTGCTTATCTGTTTGATCTCCCCACTGCATCAGTCTTCTCCCCAGCTGCTCATAATTACAGGAAGCATATTACAATGGGATTGTACATGAGCGTGTTTTTTAGATTCATCGTATTTAAAATGGATGTAATTGCTCTTGAAATGTTACTAAGTTAGTTCTGGTCTTAAGTTTTGTTGGATTGCCTCATTTAGGATAAATAACAAGGAATATGGGGTCTTTATAAAGTGCTAATTATTTTAGAAGTCTATGATTTACTTAGTTATTTCCTTAAGGTTTCACTGGCTTATCAGAATTTTAATCATTGGTTTTGTATTGCAGCAGACATGGAAGGCAGTTCTTTGAGGAGCCGGGATAAGAGGCTTAGCTTGAATTTGGTAAGTATCTGTTTGCATACACCTAAATGCAGGCGCTTGATGAACTGCAGGAAGTGAATTGTTCCACATCCTGGATCCTTTCCTGTGCTCAGCCAAAGAATAAAAAAATAGAAGCACTGGGCTTTAAACTACATTTGTGCTGCTGCTTGTCCATCTCAGTGCTCCAGCACAAGTAACCCAGCTACTGCGTGAGGCCATGGCTCCATTTGGGCTCTTATTGATTCTGTCTTGGACCATCTTCCTGGGCGGGGAGACCTGGCAGGGAATGATGTGAAATAGCCTTCACAACACAGGAAACCTGGAAGAGAGAGGAGAGGTCATCACAAGAGCACCCTGATGGAGTCAGATCTGCTGCAGAGAGGGAAGACAACAGGCTTGAGAAATATTCAACCAAGAGCACTCAAGAAAACTGCTTATCTCTTGGGCGGGGGGGGAAGGTCTAAAGATGTCTAGCATTTTGTCATCCTCATCTTCAGGGCACATGAAATTCTCTGCTTTCAAAATTCCTGTGATTCAAGCAGCTGCGAGTCTGCAGCTTCATGACTCAGCATTGCATAGACATGAGTTACATGTAGCAGCGTTGCACCCTGTAATAGGCCTCCTGCCTGAAGCTGCACACCGTCTCTTGTTTGGAAGAGACTTTGCTGCTTATATGCAAGATGTATTTTTCTTACTCTTGAAAGCTGCAATGTTTGCAATCAACACCTCTCCGTACTGAGCTGGCACTAACCTGCAAGAAATGAATTTCTAATGTTTGTTCCCAGCTATAGAAGTAGCCCGTGTCTCTGTTTCCTTAGCTTTCACATATGCAAAAATCTAGTTCATCAGATGTTCTCCTCTCAGATTTTTTCTTTTGTACGGAAGGGCTTCCTTCATTTTATAGGTCAAAAGTGTTACTTGGAGAGGCAAGAGCAACCAACCCTGTTGAATTCATAGGACTTAACCTACTTAAATCTGGTCCTAGTTTCCAACAGAGATTTGTGAAGCTCAGAAGCGAATGTCCCAAACCTGGAATGAGTATCTGAACCCAATTGTTTGACTCATGTCATTCCCTCTTCTGCCTCCCACAAAGTTCACGTCAGGACTTTCCTGGCCCGAGGCCCCATACAGCTCTGCTGACATCTTGTAGCCCTAGCTGGGTTATAGGGTGTTAGCTATTGATTTACTGACCTGTTTCCCTTTCTTTTTATTCCTACTTCTGAAGCCGTGTCGATTCTCCCCGCTTTACTCGACTGCATCAGACAGCACGGAGGACAGCTATGTGCCCATGCGCCCCAGCACCTCCCCATCCATCCCTGGCTCCAACTGCTCATCCGATGGCTACATTCCCATGAGCCCAGGCTCAGCCATATTTACCTTCCCGGTCATCAGCACTGAAAAACTCACCAGCCCCCTGCCCGAGCTTCCCTCAGACGTGGAGCCCCCGCCAGTGAACCGAGACCTCAAGCCTCGTAGGAAATGTAAGGCCTGACCTAATGAGGAGTTGGAAGCGAAGGGGGACACTGGTGACCTGTTTTGATAGTGTCCTTGGCACATTGTAGCAGTGTAGTGGCTTTTAGTGCTGTAACATGGTAGGTTACATCTGCAGGGGCATCTGCAAGCAGAGAAAAAGCAGCTGTGTCTACTTTTGTGATCCGAGACACCGTGATTGCATTAGCATAGTGCAGGGGTGTTCACATGCACCCTGACACTTGTCCTGCCTATACACTGACTGCAGACAGCCGAACAGATAAAATCACAGAACAAAAATAGTCCTGCACTGCTGTCTCACCAGCTCCCTGATGTTCCAGGGACAGGACATTTAACCATGTCAGACTTTCTGTGTGATCTGTTGATTAAATCTGTATTTGGTAGGTGCAGCTGTCTTGGTTTAATTAGGAATTTCCTGCAGATGCTTTTACTGGTGATAATTTTCTGCTCCCACTTTCCATGGCACCTCCAAATCTTGGAGCGTTGCATTTACCGAGGATATACTGGGGATGAAATTCAACTTGGCAGAGCAGTTGTTGCCTAAGCACAACCTATATGGATGCTCTCTGTGTTACAGGGCTCCAGAGAAACCAGTTCAGGAAATGCTCCTGTGAGGCAGGGGCAGAAGTTTATGTGACTGAGTGGGAAGCAAAGCAGGCTTGGATCATCTCTTAGAAGGTTTTGAGAAATGTGCATTGATTGGTGAGGGGGAGGATCTTTGCCTCTGCATGCAGGACCTTTGGTTTAGAGGACAGCCCATAGCTCTGTCTTGACTTCCCCTGTCAAATGCAGCATTTGCAGATGAGATTTGAGGCAAGTACATAGTTCTAATGGCAGGTTCTGCTCTCCTGCTGACCACTGCATTTTTTTCTGTTGATTTAGGAAAACAAGGGACTTTGCTTTCCTGAGCTAATAGAATTGGGAGATGTTTTACTGTTTTCTCTCTTAGTTATATCAATTGTGCTTTTGCTCTATGAAATATACTATTTAGGTTCTTGCTATTAATATAAAACTGTATTTTTCTGACAAATGGGTACCTTTCTTGGGCTCTCAATTCTTTTTGTAAAATTCCTTTACTTGCAGCACGGCCTCCTCCACTGGACCTGAGAAACCTCTCCACAATCCGCGAACATGCGGCCGTGACCAGGATGTGGACTGTGCCTTAGTAAGTGAACAAGAAACCTGCCATTCCAATCTTTTAAGCATTAACATTGTGGCATGGAGTTAAGACTAACTTATCACATTCCACAAGAAATAGTTTCCTGGCAAAGTCTACATGCAAAAATTCCACAGGACTCCTTCCAGCATCCTGAAGGCTTTTGCTGTCTGTAAGAAGTAAGGATCCCTTTCAAAACAGACAGATACAGTGTGTTCAACCTCATGTGGTGCTATCAGGAGTGTTGTGGTTTGGATCTCTTGTAAATTAGGGTTTTCTGAAAATTCAGATAGTCTCTTCTAAAGGTTCCTTTTGAAACAACTGAAGCTAATCTGCATTCAGGTATGGCTACTGTGGTGGCTGAAAACTTTGAAATTTTTCTCTTTTTTTGTGTTTTTCCAAAATGATAGAGCCATTTTGGTTCTTGCAGAGTTATATAGCAGAGGAGAGCTTTGCTGAGAGAGAGAGAGAGAGCTAGTTAAGATAATGATTTACCTAACTTGTTGTCTGTGTTTGTATTCTGCCATGAAACAAGCAAATTCAGGCTTAATCTACTGTAATCTTTTGTCAACTTGAAACTAGATATGCTGTAAAAGAAATGCTTTTGACCCTAGAGCTGCAGATATTACAAAGAAATTGTAGTGCTGGGCTCCATAGGCAGTGAGAGGAGGAGCCCTGAGATACTGGAGAGCAGGGGATGGCACCAGAGAGCGGTCAGGGGAATGGCTCAGCTCCTGGGGAGAATGTGACATCCCATTCTGTGGGAATGTGCAAATAAAGCCAAAAAAATCTCACAAATCTTTTGCCCAGTGCCGAACAGAGCAGCCCACTCTCCCTCTCCAGGTAGCCCATGTGCAAAACCGACCCAAGGTGTCAGTGAGAGGCAATTCCTCAATTGCAGAGACCTCTTCCAGCCCATCAGGCTGAAGCTGGTTAACCTCTTGAGCGCTGGGGTGCTTGTTGCAAGCTGTGTGTTGCTTGTTAGGACAACCCGCTCGTCTGCTCCCGAGCATCCCTGTTAGAGCACCATGGTTAACTAATGCTGACACAATACAGAGTCCTGAAGAATAACAAGCTCTGAGGGAGTTTGCATGTTTTATATTAACAAAACCAAAAAAAAAAAAAAAAAAAGAGTGTGCCCGGAACTAATAAAGCAAAAGGGATTACTATTCATTCTGCATGAAGTAACTATTTAATTTCTTAACTAACTCCACTGTGCCAGCTTGCAATAATTTACTCATGATATACTTCTGACAGCTGTGTTAGTTGGGGGGGAGAAATTCCTTGTAAAATTGAGCTGCAGCCCTCTCCACAGCACAAATAGCATGTGTTTATGCTGTGTTTAAAGCCAGCCAAGATGTTCCATACACACCTCCAGTAGCTGATTAATTGACTTGAATCTCCAAAATGTGGATACGCAGACAACAAAGTAACTACTCCATCAGCACGTATTACCTACAAGAATGATGTTTGCCTCTGTGCCCTTGTTGGAGAATTGCTCCAAAGGTTTGTGCTTTCTGTTATGCAGACATGGCAAACTTTTATAACATGAAGGAAAAAAAAAAGAAACAAAAACAAACAAACAACAAAAAAAACACAACAAGAGCAAAGACACTCATAGGACTATAACACATTTTCTTTAAAACTAATGAACATTTTTGGACATCCTCTCCAAAAAGGCTGCAGCATTAGTGTGATTTTATTCACCATATGGACAGTGTCAGGCTTTGGCTTCATTTCAGAGCATCTGTAAGATGCTTCCTTAACCTCTCCTGTGTTTTTCTTCATAGCAATCGAATGAGCTTTATCTCACCAGAAAGAGACGGTATTAATTCAGCAAGAATATTTGCCAATTCAGTTTCCGGAGAAGAGGAAGAAAGTTACATTCATATGGTAATCTTCATTTTCACACAGCCATCCTTTGCTTTATTCTGCTCTGTCACACTGATGGAGAATGCAGAAGTTTGTTTTCTAAGAAAAAATGTTGAGGAGGTTTGTCCTTTGCCTTCTGCTTAAAAAATAATGATGAAACGGTTTTAAACCAAAGACACTGGGTCTGATTTACAGGGAGATAGGGAAGCCCTTCTTCTGCTCTGCAGAACTCAGCTGTTCGCCCACGAATGTTGCTGAGCAGTTCCAAGAGATCACAGGGATCAGCCATATTTACATGAGAACTCATTAAGGCAAAGGAAAATTAAATCTTTTCACCTTTTAAAAGTGTGCCCTGCAAAATCTCCTAGGAAATGACAGAAAGCCGTTAGTGCACTTCCTAAAGAAACACACCAAATATTGTGCAGAAACAGAACCCCCATTAAAGTCTCCTATTGCTTCTGCTTTGGCTGGTGGTACTAACCCCACTTCCCATCCCATGAAAGAGGAACATCTGGCTTTGTGGCTTCCTTTTCTTCATTCATTCTTTAATGATGTCTTGCAAAAGACCAGAATCTCAGTTTCTTTTGAATTTTAGGTGGAAATAGATGTCAAAACCCTTGATCTGAGTCAGTGTCTACAAATCTGGCTCTGTATCCAAAGCCCGATGGCAATGGGAGAGTGTATTGCAGAACTGATACTGTCCACAAATGAGAGCTTCAAAATTTAGCCCACACCTCTGTTAGGTTCCAAATCTGCTCCCTGAGGCAGCTCCAGATGTAATCATTCCCATTTGATTTTCCTGTCAATTAAAACTTTCCACATATTTGTGGTCATATGCAATTTTTCCTGATATTAATATTCACCTGATAAATATGAAGTGAATTAATCTGAGCCTTCCAAAGCCTTGTTTTGGGAAGCTGGGCACAAATCTCTCCTGATTTATAAAATCAGAATGAGAATGAGACCAGTTTGCTTGTTTTGCTATAACTGCAGGGAGAATGAGGCTTCTGAATTTGTTGTACTGTTCCACAGCCAATTAATGTTATCCTGTGGTTAGTCAATAAATATACCCTTGGAACAGAAAATTGGGTGGGTGCTGACTTTCCTCATTTGCCTTCTGCCAGATGAGTGTAGCACCTCACAGGGTTGTCTTTCCCTTTAGGATCATGGTTTAAGAGTATTAAAAATTCTTCTTTCTTGACAGGACCACAGACAGGCAACATCTCCATACAATGGTGCTTTTCCATGGACAAGGAAATCTAACCTTGATTACTTAGCATTGGATTTTAATTCTGCTTCCCCATCCCCTGTACAGAAGGTATGAGTCATTTTTGAAAACCCCATAGCCCACTATCTCTTTCTCTGGGAGGAAAACCTAACAAAGGTTCACACTCTGCTAGGTCTCATAAGTACAATGAAGCCAGTCGTGTTTCCAGCTGATTGCATTCATAACAGGCTCAAGATTAGCAACATAAAAGCATGATTAGAAGGGATGACAAAGTGTCCTTAGCATGACTCATAGTGATGCCCTCAGCATGTGCTCAGCAGAGGACACAGGACAGCACTGAGGAGTGCAGCTGTAAGGGTGTAAGGGCTCATGGGCAAGCTTGTTAGTGCTTGCAGGATCTCCACACGTTATTTATTTTTCGTCAAGTATCCACGAACCCTTTCCTGCTGTTTTTTTCCCCCCTTCCAAATCTCTCTGCAGTAACAAACATAGTCTATGATAAATTCACAAGGTAAAATTGTATTATCTCTTGAACTATGGCAAAATATGCATCTTTATCCTTGTATCACCAGAAGTACTTCAGTTTCTTTAGCAAATTTGAGAAAACACAATTCTTGTTTCAAACAGTTTCCAGTCTACCTGGGCATTGATCAGGTAATTAATGTAATATTCTGCAAAGCAGGGAGCTATTGTCCAGTGGGCTGCCATGGAAGTTTTGTATCCTATGTACCATTTTCCCCATCAGTTAATATTCTTTCAAGCAAGAGACTTCTAGGCCTTATTTAAAGCCTCCCTTTAGATAAGATACTGGTAGGTTATCCCTACAGCAGGATCATTTGGATAACAAGAAAGTGATTATCCATATGGAAATAGCCAGAACAGCATGTTTCTCTCACTGTGCTGGGCTGAGTGACAAGGTGACAGATGGATAGTTATATCTAAAGCAGGCTGTAAGGCAATGCTTTTGTCAGCTGATGTCACTGTGAGCTTCAAGGTGAAATGAAGCAACCAGAGAATCAAGGAAACGAAGAACAGAAAATCAAGCAAAGTGTGACTAGCATCCCTTTTCATCCTGAAATATGTTATTTCTTTTCTCTCTCTCCCACAGAAACCTTTTCTCTCTGAGGAGCAAAGAGTGGACTATGTCCAGGTAGATGAGCAGAAGACTCAGGCTTTACAGAACACTAAGCAAGAATGGACAGATGAGAGGCAATCTAAAGTTTAAAGGAGGAAGGTTTGGGATTGAAGGATTTTTTTTTTTTTTTTTTGCACTGGAACCACAATGTTAATAAAGCAGCTATCACAGTAGAGTTCAAAGGCAAAGAGAGTTGCAAGATGCTTATGGACTCTGGAGGAATTACATTTTCAAAAGAAAACATTTGATTTCAGCTGGAAAGAGTATGTTGAATGAGTGGTTCACTGATGATTAAAGTAATGCATTACTTTTTTTTACTGCCCTTACCAGTAAGCTACATGGTACCATTTTCTGGCATGATTCTTAGACAAGACATAGACTTAATGTTAACAAATCCACTACATGTTGCATTAATCTAGTTAGTCCTGTCTTCTCCCTCTGTTGTGTAATTCCTAGTTGCTAAAGCTATTTTTTGATATTCCTTCAAATACTGCAGGTGCTCAAATGGCTTATGGCAATGGGCATCTGACAGCTGTTGGTGACTAATCAACTAAGGGCTAAAATACTGAAACAATAAAAAAGAACTTTTTGAATACATAGTGCTTAAGTAAAGGGAATTGTGGAAAATAATTTTCCCCTGGGTTGCAAAGGTCAGACTCTGAGCTGACGTTGTTAGAAATTCAAAACAGGACTATGCACCGCCGGAACTGGAAAGCCTGGTCTCTGACCCTCCAGATGACGGTCATCATATTAATCTTCTCCCCATTGCGGCTTATACATGTTGTCTCTACATCTGATTACTACTGATATTTTCTCCCTATCTTGAGAGAGTTTCTTCAGCCCAGCATAGCTGCTCCTCTAGCAGGAGACCGCAGCTGCACAGCTTTTGCGTGGCCAGCAGGAAGAAAGGGAAGCTGTACGCCTGTTTCTGCAAGTCTTGGGAGAACTGGCAAAGGATCAAGAATGCTTTCATCTGAACTGCGGGAGAAATACAAGTGGAATTGCTGGTAGCAGTCGTCAAACCAATTGTTTCATTAGACACACCCCGATGACAGCGAGCATTAGGAAGCGCCGTGCGGTCCGAGGAGCAAGCAGGCCTGCCAAAATACAGCAACAACAATGTGCTTACGCAGTGTGAGGACCTCTGGGCTCAGGAAGCTTATCTACCTTGGGACTTGTTATGGATACTATCTCAGGATCGCATACGTGTATAGTTTATAACATATTTAACTTTAAAATCCTGGCTGCAATCTTTATTTTAAGGTGGCACGTGGCCTCTCAAATAAAGGCAGTATGCAGCACCATTGCATTACCCCACGCTGGATTTGATCTTGGAGCCTTTTCTCTTGCAAGTAAGTCCCACTAGCCATATAAGGCCTATTCCTGTTAGCAGGGATAGAGAACCAAGATGTGTTATGAGGGTTTTGCCTCTTTGACAGGGCCAATTCATTGGCCTCCCTTCGTGTGCCTGTTGTTACCACATTATACAACTGTAATTTAACATCCAGATGATGCCAATTTACCAAGCAAGGTCATGAAAGTGTCATCACAGAAGTTGCTGACCTTTCAAGGTTCCTGCTTATATTTCATGCCTGTGTTCTGCATCGGGGGCATTTTGGAAGGCTGAGGGACGCAACTGAGTCCAACATCCTGCTACAAATGGCAGCTTAACTAATAGAAACACCATTTTTTTTCTCCTACCTCAAGATAGCTGAAGTGCTTGCAACCCTTGCATATTCTTTAGAGAAAAATCAATGCTGAGAACCCACGATGATCAGTCTCTTAGCTTCTGCTGCAAGAACAATGAGCTTCACTGGCCCCTTTACTGACCCTGTGGCAAACTGCATGGCCAGCTCTGCAGGCAGACCAGCTCAGAAATACCACCATGCTCCAGAACCCTGCAAAGCATCGGAAACCTCCACAAATTGCACTCTGCTCCTGCAGATCCCAGTTGCACAGCAGTGGCATGGGAGCCACAGATTCAGATTGTGACAATATACAAAGCAGTTCATGTTTTACAGGAGTGTTTCTTTTCAAGCTTTCAGAATATCCTCTGAAATGGAAACATTATTGAAGACAGTCAATTCCCTTGCTATTCCAGTTTCTTGTGAAAATATTTAAGCCTTCACAAACATGGCTCCTGCATTCAGAAGTTTAGAAAATGCAGATCTCTTCCAGTAGTTTTCTTTTTTGAATAGATTTGAACATTTAGGCTGGACATGAGTCTTCAGATTAGAACAGACCCCCTTTCAATTTATGTGTGTTTCCTTCCCTGGAGATTTGTTATTTTGTTCAAACACAGCTTAATTGCATCTAAGTTTCACTTCTTAAGCAGAAAAACTTTTTGATCAAAAATAACCTTTTTTTTGGCTAAAAGGTTGTAGGTTTTTTTGGTTCTCATATTTTTATCTACTGCTTTAGAGCCTGTGACATGTGTCCTTATGCATGTGTAATGCGTGAAACAGGATCAGAAAAAAAATGTAAAGCAGTCTATTCCCAAAACCTTTTTCTTTTTTCCTTTTTCACTGTTAGTTAGGTTTTACAATGCTACCAATAGTGTAAAGACAAGGAGGATGGTGTGGGGAAAGGCAAAAAGCCAGATCTGCTGCGGTCACCCCCGCATCATTAAAGATTTTGCCCCTGGTGGAGCTGCTGTGGTACCTAACTGCCCTACTCGTGAATACTGAAGTGGCAACTGCTGCGTCCCAGCCCCAGCATCATAGCAGCCTGCTGGGGAGACAGGAGGCACATTAGAGGCACTTAATTAACTTTGTTCCTAAATAGTGAGGGCCAAAGAGAAAAGACAAACTGAAAGCACTTGAAAATTGCAGCAGCTTTGGACAGTGGCTTATTTGCAGTGTCCCTTTACTCCGGGGCTATCCTTTTGCTATTGTAAGTAGTTACTTCAGGTTTTTGGAGCCGGTGTGGAGCGAGGCTCTGTGTACGTGAGGCAGCCTGGAATGTGTGAGACAGCAGCACCAAGCAAGCAGGTCAGCTGCAACTGGACACATCGCTCAGCAGAGCTCCTAGGCAGAGCTGAAATGCACAAACATGCTAAAGGATTTCAGTCCTGATGGAAAAACTAGGAAGAATCCAGGTGGGATCCAAGGCACTCAGTCCAACAGAGGAATGGGCCCCTGGCCAGCACCCAGGCCCTGAAGGGAGCAGTGTGAGTGTGATAGGGATACTGCCCGCCGCCCGCGAGCGCGGGAACTACCTGCGTCAAACACCTGCTTGGAGTCTGTCTAAAGAACCGTAAACAAGTTAATCTGATCTGAACTTCTTTCCTCAACAGCAGGATTTCAGTACTTGTTGAAAGTTACAGGGATTCTTAACTTGTGTACCCAGTTAGGGGTTATCATGGCCATTTTCTGCAGCCGTTCAAGGATCACTCATTTGAGCAAGGACCGCAGGATCCAAGACTCTCTTATACTTTGGACTAAAATATATTTTTAATTTCCTTATAGTACCTTTATTTCAGAAGAGAGCATTAAATACCTTACCGTCAGGAACAAACACTTTGCCTGAGAATATCCACAGCCATTTAACTGGAGCCCCGTGCCCTCGGTGGGCTCATTTCTGCCAGGGGTCTGCTTGCCCTCTTCAGTGTCACTAATTACAGACTGGATGTAAATGTTGGAGTTGCATTCACTTTAATCGATCCAGTGATTCAGTGATTCAAAGACCATCAGATGCTGTGATGAGAAGGAAGCACAGGGCAATGCCTTTCCTTTGTGCCCCTGTTCCACAAAAAATTGCTCAGGTTAAAAAAAAAAAAAGCCACCAAAATAGCAGACTTTTGCCATTTCAAAGCCAGATTTTTTTTTTGTTCAAATCAAAATAAATTTTTGTTTTGTGCAAGTGAAGCATTATACTTTTTTGGTATTTGTAAATCTGTGGGGAAGCATTAAGCAGTCCTCTCTATTAAGGAGTAAAGTCATTGATAGAGGGGAGCAGCTCTCCCCCATGTTTTGTTGTTATTTGTTGTATATATTTGCACATTAAGCTGTGTATCTTTTTTCTAATAAATTAATATAAAATATAACTGTGATCATTATTAAGTCAAAATAAGGCCATAGGGAAACCTTTCTTCTGCTCCCCACTTTTCCTGTATTACTTTTTCAGATTTTTACCTATTATGTCTTCTTCATGTAAATGGATGTATGTTCTGCTTGCAAACAAATTGTACACCTGTGCCTCAAAGCTTATCTGCGGGTGACCCGCATTGAGAGGAGGAGGAGGAGGAAGCTGGGAGCTGCTGCTGGGATGGCAGCCTGCCGGCCATGTCCTGCCAGCCACATAAGCCAGCAGCGCAGGGGTGACAGGGGTGCACTTGACTGACCAAAGAAGGCTGCAAACGGAGGTTTGGTAAGCACATTCTCGGCACTTGGATGTAAAGATTGATTGGCGGTTAGTTAGGTCCTTTGATCATCCTGCGCTGAGGAGCCCAGCTGCTATTAATGACATTTCCAAGTGCAGCACTGATGACACGGGAGCTGGGATCCTTTCAATGTGCTGCGACTCCGTCTGCTGCCACCATGCAGGGCACCCCACCAGCACAAGCTGAATGGACCTGCTCACTCCCAGGTACTTTGGATAACTGCTCGTTTCTTCCTTCAGGCAACCATCATTTCTAGAGCTGTGTGTTTTGCAATCCTGGACACAAACTTTTGTGATCAGCTTTGGGGAGAGGGATAAACAGGGCCTGTCTGCTGCCACCTTCTCCCTGACTAACCTCTCCAGAGGAGACGGTGCAGCCCAGGGTCTCTCCTGAGATCTGAGCTTCCAGGATCTCATTGCTGCACAAAGTGAAAATCTGGAATAGCTGTACTGATCTCAGTAAGGTTTTTTCCAGGTTTATATATACCGCAAAAGCACCTTATATGATCTATGCATCCTATTGGATTTTATTTTTTTTTCTAAACAGTTCTGATTATCTCCAAGGATATTTAATATTCATTTAATAACCTTATTTATATTGCAGACTTACCCTGTGGTCCTTCTAGCTGGTGATCACGCTGCTGCTCCCTGCTGAGCTTCAAGCTGGGCTGCCTCCAAAAGCAGATGCCAGTTTGCTGTAACCAGCCTCCCAGCATCAGGCTGGGGAAATGGGAAATTTTCCT